TGAATCTGCTTCGTGCCGGTCGTATCTTTGTGTTTGAGCCTCCTCCTGGTGTCAAGGCCAACATGCTCAGAACCTTCAGCAGCATCCCTGTGGCTCGCATGTGCAAGGTGACTTAATCTGGATTTACCGACACATAGACTCCCCTTCTCCCCCCGACATTTGATGTCGTAATAACTTTTGCTTCTCCGTTCTCCTACAGGCTCCCAACGAGCGTGCTCGTCTCTACTTCCTGCTGGCTTGGTTCCATGCAGTCATTCAGGAGCGTCTGCGCTATGCACCACTGGGCTGGTCCAAGAAATATGAGTTTGGAGAGTCTGACCTCCGCTCTGCCTGTGACACCATTGACACCTGGCTGGATGACACTGCTAAGGTTGGAGATTATTTCAGAAATCATATACAGTGGTTTATCAGCATAATAAGTATTTGTTGCCAACAGAAGTGTATATGAACACATAGTCATACAGTTCTTACTGTAGAAATACTACATTCATCAGATAATTTACTTAAAGCCCTGACAAGGAACTTTTTGTGTTGATTCTCTGGACAGAAGTAGTAGTATTTCTACCGTCTTGTCTCATTGTTTCCAAGGATAATCTGACCCGGTGGAAGGAAGAAAAAATATAACCTTGTCATACTTGTACATACACAGGGTCGTCAAAACATCGCACCAGACAAGATCCCCTGGGCAGCTCTGAAAACCCTCATGGCCCAGTCCATCTACGGCGGCCGCATTGACAACGAGTTTGACCAGCGTCTGCTCAACACCTTCCTGGACCGCATCTTCACCAAGAGAAGCTTCGACAGTGAGTTCAAACTGGCTCTGAAGGTTGACGGGCACAAGGACATCAAGATGCCCGATGGAATTCGGTCAGTACTGGCTTTTCGCACAAAAAATTTAATTTAGTTTATTAATATTGAAAGATTAAAAAATGATTCATGATTTTGATTGTTACAGGCGTGAGGAGTTCATGCACTGGGTTGAATTGCTTCCAGACACTCAGACTCCATCTTGGCTGGGGTTGCCTAGCAACGCAGAGAAGGTCTTGCTCACCACTCAGGGTACGCCACAGCCGGTCATCTTGATCATCTGTACTCTGGTGTTCTGTCACAGTAACTGGACCGCAACACATCCTGATTATTCTTCCTCATTTCATCTGTTCAGATTTCATGTTTTCACAGGGCAGATCATTAACCATCTCTCACTCTCTATTCTAGTCTCTTCACTTCTATTTTTACAGGATGTCTCAGTGCAACGAGAGATCAAGAGATTGTGTTTTTGCGCCTGCTTTGGGCAGAATAGTGTGTGTGTGTGTGTGTGTGTGTGTGTGTGTGTGTGTGTGTGTGTGTGTGTGTGTGTGTGTGTGTGTGTGTGTGTGTGTGTGTGTGTGTGTGTGTGTGTGTGTGTGTGTGTGTGTGTGTGTGTGTGTGTGTGTGTGTGTGTGTGTGTGTGTGTGTGTGTGTGTGTGTGTGTGAAGAATATATAAAGGGTGCTTTTTTTTCTGCTAATCTCTCATCTTCTCATGGGTTCATTTAACCAGTTCGCTTTCTACGGTATCACAAGTAGCTCCTAGTTGTGGTCTTGTATACCGTAGTCGTACAGTTTAGCTGTGTAGTCATCATACTTTTAGAGGCGCTCTGCCCAAAGGGAAGGGTGTGCGTCTCCTCACCCTCCAGCAGCTGTATTTCACAGCCATCATGTCGCTTTGCTAAATACTACCCCCACCCCACCCTCAGATTAGGTTTCAGAGACTGGCACACACCTCCCCATCAGTCCCCTCCCCCTCAATCATATCCTCCCTCCCTGCTTCATCAGATTGATTTCCACACCTCCTTCAAACTCCCACAATCCGAAGCATCCACCCCTTTTACCCCCTGCCACACTCCCCCTCTCCTCCCTCACTCCCATCCTTTAGTTTCACTCACAAACCTTTCTTACCCTACATTGCTTATGTTCATTTCTTTTACAGATCCAGTCAGTCAAGAATGTGGTTTATCCACTCAGGAACTGTGTTGAATGTTACATGTGATTGAAATATTGCCTGAAGCCTTGTGTTTATACATCCTACCCAGTGTAGTCCTAATTTGTTTCTGTCTGGCACAACTCCTTTTTTTTTACTAAAAAAACAAACAAACCTTATATTAACACACCCTTGAGGTAAGCTGTTTGTTTCTTTGTTCCACTATTAATTTCTTCCCCCCCCCCATGGCCTTGTCTTCCACCTTCCTCCCCGCTCACTCACTCCCTCCACCGGGCTGCGCAGGCATTGACATGATGAGTAAGATGCTGAAAATGCAGATGTTGGAGGATGAGGATGACCTTGCCTACGAGACGGAGAAGAAGGAGCGTACTTCGTCCACATCCGATGCCCAACCTGCCTGGATGAGAACCCTCCACACCACGTCCTGCAACTGGCTGCAGCTCATTCCCCAAACAGTCAATCCACTCAAACGCACGGTGGAGAACATCAAGGTAATGGCAGAACAAAGAGGAAAGATGGTTGGCAAGCAGACTTCAGAGGTCAGGCCTAAAATATTGTGTATTTACAAGAAGCTGCACAACGTCCTTGGCAGTCACTGTTATGTTGATGTGTTGTTTTTATGCTTTAAAGTTTTGTGTTTGACTCGTGAAGTTACTAGGTAAAATAAAAAGAAATAAAAGCACAGGTTTGAATTTACTTGCTTTTTAGTCAGTGAAGTATCTGACAAGCTTCTGTATTTCATTTAATGTCTTCTTTGTCCAAACACACAAACACCAGGACCCACTGTTCCGGTTCTTTGAGCGTGAGGTGAAGATGGGCGGCAAGATGCTGCAGGAGGTTCGTCAGGATCTGTCTGATGTGGTGCAAGTGTGTGAGGGCAAGAAGAAGCAGACGAACTACCTGCGCACACTCATCAGCGACCTTGTTAAAGGTAAACATTTTACTTTTGAAGGCAGATTAATTAATATAGAAAAGTCACTGCATACTTCACATTCCTCAGGGTTGGTCTTGACGTATGTCCTTGAACAGATTATACTTTCAGGGAAAAAACTTGTAAACCTGGGTTTTTTTCTCTGCAGGTATCCTCCCTCGCAGCTGGTGTCGGTACACAGTTCCAGCCGCCATGACTGTGATCCAGTGGGTGGCAGACTTCAGTGAGCGAATCAAACAGCTGCAGCAGATCTCCCAGGGAGCTGCCAGTGGGGGTGCAAAGGAGCTGAAGGTACAGATTGGTTAACTGTTTGTGTACACCATCGAACAACCTGTGACTCTTAAATAGTATAACAGATTCCTTAAAAGTTGAGAGCGCCGCTCACAGTACTGTTATTTTCCTTTTCTCCTCCAGAACATCCATGTGTGCCTCGGAAGCCTGTTTGTGCCAGAAGCTTACATTACCGCTACCCGCCAGTATGTGGCCCAGGCCAACAGCTGGTCTCTGGAAGAGCTGTGTCTGGAGGTCAATGTCACCACTGCCCAGGGTTCCACACTGGATGCCTGCAGCTTTGGCATCAAAGGTCAGACGAGCAGCCCATCATCTGCTGTAGTTAGAAGTTGTATAACAAGGTTAAACTGTGGCAATATGACAATATAAGTATTTGTGAACTCCTTCATGAGTAGAGATCGGTGCTGGATTGTTTTTCATTCTTGTCTCCTTCCATGTGAATCCCAATCATTAAGTAAAAAGAAAAGATAGGTATAGGATGGGTCCTACTAATTGTGTAGCACCCTTGTCATGAGTGTGGAAAATACTCACAACGTCTTAAAGTGTGACTCCAGTTTGTCACCAAACTAACTTTGTGTTCTAATATATATATTGGAGATCTGTAAAATGTTAAAGGTTTCTAATGTCAAACATGCTTTTTGTTTCTCTCAGGTCTGAAACTGCAGGGAGCTACTTGTGCCAACAACAAGCTGTCTCTGTCCACTTCCATCTCCACTGAGCTGCCTCTCACTCAGCTCCGCTGGATCAAGCAAAGCAACGCTGAGAAGAGACACATGGTATGAGCAAGATATGTATACACAAAACCATTATCAAATGATCTAAAATAGTTAGAAAAAAGGTCTTATTATGCTGTTAAATTCAGATTTTGGACCGCTCCTCACATTCAGTTTTTCTTCTTGTTGCAGGTGACTCTGCCCGTGTACCTGAACTTCACCAGGTCTGACCTCATCTTCACTGTTGATTTTGACATCGCCACAAAGGAGGATCCACACGCCTTCTATGAGCGTGGAGTTGCTGTCCTGTGCACTGAGTAGATGAAACAAGTCATTCCTGAAGACCAGAGTCTTGATAATTAAACCACACATTATCACTTACATTCATAGCTTATTAACCACCATTTAAAAAGTAGTTTGTAGCCTGTTGCATTCTGTTATAAAACGTAGTTATAGAGAGAAACATTTGTGGAGCAGTAATGAAGATGTAGCCATTAGAGTTTGAGGAAAGTGTCTTAGAAGGTAATGGGGATGTTGTCAGATGGTAAATGAAGAGAAAATGACATGTGGAAAAGGAAAGTTGTAAGTTAAAGATGTTTTAATGAAAGAACCTGTATGTTTTTAGATTGAATGAAGCTTGCTGGAATTAAATGAACTGCATTAAATACTTTGACGCTGTCTTTGTGTACTACTAAATGTTTGATTTAAAGTCGGTATCATAAGTGGTATTTGTGGTGTAACTTAAGACATAAAAGTTAAATAAAATACAAGGACCTGAAAATGTGCCCATCTGAACCATTTTTAAAATAATAAAGAACCAGAGTCTGAACGGTGGTGGATGATAACTTTCAGCTGGACTTAAGTTCTTGCCCTCAATCACATGACAGTCAAACATTTTTTATCAGTTTATCATCAAAACCTTTATGCAAAGACACTGAAGACTTCACCGATAATAGTGAAGGAAAATTATGTAAAACAATGTGTATTACTGCCATCTGCTGGTTGGAGGGCCAAACTTTTAGTTTAAAGAAAACTATTGAAGGACAAAATGAAACTAGATAGACTGCACTTGACACCTGAAAGAACATCTAAGAAACAGACATAAGGATGAGAGATTTAGGTTCTAATCTGCAGCAAAAACATGGAATACAATTTATGTTCAGTTGTGCATTTTCCCAATTTTAAATAGATACTATGTTGACTTATTTTTTGACTGTACAGATTAGTGCGCTGCAGTTTGCAAGACAAAATATTTATTTTACAGAAAGACGATCTTAAACATAAAGCCAAAACTACACAGGAATGGACTGAAAACAATGCATGAAACTGGAAAAATTATCAGTTAAATAAGGAGTTGCTCAAACTTTGCTATCCAGTGCAGCAGTAGACATTTAGCTAATATGGACAAAATAAGCCAATATCATGTTTTATTTTTCTCTTTCTGAAAATATGTTTTTCTTTTATTGGCCCATGGGAAAACATAGTTTCTTCATTGCCAGTGCAGAGGTTGTACATTGGTGGTCTATTATGGTGACCCAGGTTACTACGGTAGTTATCCAGACAAAAATTAAATATTGCTTGAAGAGACAATCAGCACAATATGTGACACCTGTGAGACAATCAAAAGGTGGAAAGAGGTAGAAAAAGAAACCCTCAGGCCTAATTACATGAGTAAACAAAGTGCATTTCCAAGTAACTATAGCTTTCATTCTAACTTAAACAATTTAAGGCGTTCAATATGCAATACTTCAGTCTGGCAGTCCGTTATTGGAGCTCTAACGTGGTTCGGATGCAGACTCCCCTCCCTCCTGTTTGTCCTCCATGTTGACGACACACTGCCTCTTTCTTTGCCCCAGCTCCATCACTTCTGCTCCAGGGAAACCCAGCTTTCTCTTGTGAAGAGATGTAAGGTTACAGGGACTGGGGGATCTCTCAGAGGAGCTGTGCAACATCTGTGACAAACTCCCTTCCACTGAGGTTACAGGTCCAGGTGTTTGAGGTGTGGAGGATCTCGTAGCATGCATGCCTGAATCATCAAATTGGCAATGTAGTTCTATATCCATGGTTTGGACGTGCATGGTTGAATCGTTGGCCAGTTCTTCTTTAAGATCTCTACAACCACCCCTGTCGCTGTGAGAGGGCATAATGTCTAGCTCACAGACCCACAGCTCTGAGTCACTCCCACATTTCATTGGGACGTCCAAAAGATCTTGCTGCTCTGTAACAGGATCTCTCATCCCACTTTTGATCACTTCTCTGTGGGCAATGGAAGTAGGGTGATGGAGGATAAATCTCCTGCTCCTGCCAGAGAACCGACAGCCTCCTCCTCCTCCTCCGCCGCCGCCTTTTCCCTGTTGCCTTGTTCGCCTACTGGAGACACCCACGTCTGTGTTTGACTCGCCAGAATCCTCGGAGCTCCCATCATACGGGTCCAAAAACTACAATTATGAGCACACGTGCATTCATTCATAAACACACAGAAGAGCATTTTCAGCAGAAATGGATGGATTTAAGGAAGGAGAAAACTTACCAAAGAATAACAGCCATGCTTCCCTGCAGGCTTGTGTGTTAATGGCAATGTCCTCCGAAACGTCCCACTCTCTGGTGCACTGCTCACACATCCCTGCTTGACAAGGAATTCAGTGATTTTTGTGTCTCCAAAGACAGTAACTTATTTATAAGTTAAATGCATTCTGGAGCCCACCCCAGCATTTCCTGCCTGAGACCAAAAAAAAGACAAGACTGTGGACATAGGAAGGTGTGTATTGTCTGGAGTGTTGGTGGCATGATAATGGGGAAAGAGTTAGCTTCTGGGAAACAAATTTGATCCAAATTAAAACAAAATCCATGGAGATCCAATGGAAAATGCCTTAAGTCTGGGACTGGGTGTAATCTCTTTAAAATACATGTATAGTATATAAAATATACATGGTCAAGTATGCATTTGTGTTTATTGTTGTATTATGTTTATGTGTGATGTTCACATACAGAAATAAAAGCAGTACCATAGTGCTGGTGTCTGACCATCTTGGACTGATCTCGGAGTCAGAATCGGTGCTGGACTCCACTTTACACATCTCCTGACACAAAACAGAGTCAGTCAACTCCAGTCCATATTTATATGTCAAAAGCAATACACAAATTAAATGCAAAGTGATTTAGGATTTTCAAACTGATTTAAAAAAAAATGGTGATAACTGATCTCACCATGTATTTGAAAGCAAGCTGGTCCACGTTGTTGGGTGCATGTCTATCACTATGCTCTAATTGGAGAAAGTGAAAAAGACACCGAATATAGGTTCATATTATTTGTTTAAAAATAAACGTAGCACAAAAAGTAAGGAAATTTGTGTTTGGTTGATCATTTCTCTGTGGTAACAATAAATCTTATACCGTTGGAAAGCCTGTTTAGTTCCCTTTCAAATGGTGCCCCATTTGTAAGGAACATGCACTTGTGGGTTGAGCAGCAGAGCTGAGTATGTGGGTTGCGCCCATGAAAAATTTGCCAAATCTTCTCTGCCAATGCCAAACAGCTTATTCTGCCATTGACTCGTTTGGTTTTTGGTGGATTGGATGATTGAAGTTTGAAGAAACAAGACATATTGGCAATTTAACAATTTATTCATTTCACAAACAGGAGCCTCAGTAGCGTGTGGAAGAACCATACACAGCCACAACAGCCTGGCTCCTCCTCCTCATGCTGGTTGCACACTGCTGTGGGATGGCATCCCATTCTTCAACCAGCATTTGTCGCAAGTCAGCCATCGTGGTTGTGTTGGTCACTCTGGCATTAACAGCACGCCCAAGCTGATCCCACAAGTGTTCAATGGGGTTGAGGTCAGGACTTCTGGGAGGCCATTCCATCCTCTCCTCCCACATTCTGGAGGTGGTCTCTGATAAACCCCGTCCTGTGGGGGCGAGCGTTGTCATCTTGGAGGATAGAGTTCGGTCCCAGACTGTGGAGATATGGGATTGCCACTGGTTGCAGAATCTCATCTCTATATCTCTCTGCATTGAGATTGCCTCCAATGATGACAAGCGTCGTTTTTCCAGTGAGGGAGATGGTGCCCCACACCACCACACTGCCTCCACCAAAAGATGTTATTCTATCGGTGCAGCAATCAGCATAGCGTTCTCCACATCTTCTCCACACTTTACCCTACGATCCAACTGCTGTAGGCAGAATCTGGACTCATCACTGAACATAACGTTCCTCCACACGTTCAGGTACATTGTCTGGGCAGAGAGCCATCGGCCATATCGTCCTGCAAACCTTGACTGCAAATCTGTAGAAGACAGCCTACGGCACCTAAGTGCTGACAGGGTGAGGAAATGGTCTTCTTGGGACGCCCACTTCGCGGCCTGTCCTTGACATCCCCTGTTATATGGAACTTGGCCTTCAGTTTGGAGATGGTACTAGGGCTCACTCCAAATAATGCCGCAACTTGGTTTTGCAGAACACCAGCTTGAAGTTGCCCTATCTCAAGGGCCCTATCCAGATCAGTCAAAGTGCCAATCAGGCACCTGATTGGCAGCACCTGGGGGTAGCAGAAGCTCAAAACAAGTGTCAATAGCAACAGCAAAATAACCCGTTTGGCAATGGCAGAAAGGATTTGGCAAATTTTTCATGGGCGCAACCCACATACAGTGCTGCTGCTCATCCACAAGTGCATGTTCCTTAACAGGCTTTCCAACGGTATAAGATTCATTGCCAAAAAGCATTGTTACCACAGAGAAATAATCTACCAAACACACATTTCCTTACTTTTTGTGCTAAGTTTATATATATATGTGTGTGTGAATAAATATCATAAATAAATCAGAATAAATTACAATGTTTTTAATACTGCCAAAATCAAATAGAAAAATACCTGGAAGTCCGAGTTGTCGTCTTCTCCTATATGCCATAACATTTGGCGCGTGTAACTTTTTTTGCACCACGATTAAAGCAAAAAAAAAAGACTTAAAAGTTGTCTTTTACTTGTATAATTAAAGTAAACTGGAAGATGAATTAACCGAGCAGACTACCAGGTGCCTTTTGATATGAAGCAGCCAAGTGTGGCCACAGGTGAGCAGCCGACACAGGGGACACAGCATAGACACGAGTTCAAAACGAGTTTGCTAATTGTAAGACTTTAACAAAATAATACGTCCGGCGTTTGTTTTTGTTTTTTCAAAATAAAACTCATATTGACCCCGCTGATTCTGCAAGAAGACGTAGATGTAGGCGTTTTTATAGCTTTTAATTATTTTCTAACCACCTTGCTCGCCTTTTTAAAATATATATATATATTATAAAACCTATTTAAAGAGTATTTACAACTGTAAAGGCCAAGGAAGTGACTTAAAAAATCACTTCAAAATAATGTATAACGTTTGGTTAAACATTTCACAATATAACCTGTCCTACCACCAACGTAAAACTACTGTTTTATATAAATATATTTTCATTTTTCTTAATAGTATTAATTCATAACATGTTGTAACGCCACAATGTTTTGTTTTGTTTTTTAAAAGAAGAAAAAGCTGTGTGAGATATCTGATTAAGTACAACCGTGTCCTCCACCGCCAGTTCCCCGGTGAACCGTTGGGGGGACCGGGAGAGTCCGCTCCGTGGCCCGCTCCCCTCCGTGCGTAAGATCCGGCCTGGGGGAAAGGGATGAATGTTAATTTCAAAGATGGCGGCGGAGGGAGGAGGGAAGGAGATGAACGAAATTAAAACTCAGTTCACAACTCGGGAGGGTGTCTACAAACTCCTTACTCACTCCGAATACAGCCGGCCCAACAGGGTGCCTTTCAACTCGCAGGGCTCCAACCCCGTCAAGGTCTCCTTCGTGAACGTCAACGACCAGTCGGGCAACGGCGACCGGATCTGTTTCAATGTGGGCCGTGAGCTCTACTTCTACATCTACAAAGGCGTTAGAAAGGTAGCGTGCTAACGCGGCTAATGTCAGCGGAAATCCGTGATGCTGCATGTTTTTTTTTTGTTTTGTTTTTGTTTTTAAAAACCCCGAGCACTGCTGTGTGCGCTGGAGTTGAAGTGTTGAGCTGTGGTAAATAAACTCTGGCAGGTGCTTGACTTTGAAAATTAGCTGACAGCTAGTTAGCTTGGAGCTAGCCAACGCAACTGGCTAACGCTAGCAAGCCAGCAGCTACTCCGAGGCCAGGGGCTAAATTCCGCCCACAGTCCGCCACTGTTTTAGTGTTGGCTGGATGGAGGGGATCCGTGGGGTTGGGTAACGATCACCAGGGTTAATTTGACCTTTTTTGGTTTGATTTAAGTTGTCAGGATTGCCATTGCTTGTGTAGCGGTTGTAGTTAGTGATGACAGTGACAGTTCTTCGTTGCCACCCATTAACACCTGTCGACGCCTTTTGACTGACAGCTGTCGACAAACCACCAATGATGCTGATTGAGTGTGTTGACAATCATTTGGGCATCCTGTCTGATGTAATGGCTCTCAGCTTTTAGCTCGGGGGAGATGTGCCTGGGCAAAATCTGAGCAGACTAGCTGACTTTCTCTGCATGCTGGAGCACACATGTCTAGTGATTACAAGGGATGGACGTCTGTTTAAATGCTCAATCATTGCACAGTATGATTTTATGTAATAATAAAAGTAATTCAGCGTTGATTTCTTCAATAACTCTGACAAATATGTAAATATCTTTTCTAGTTAAGCGGGTAAACAGACGGTGGGAATCACTGAATAAATGTATATTCAAAATACTGTCTGCAGCCAACAGCTGACCTCATATCACAGGTTGACGGGAATCAGCTGACTTCTCAGTTAAAGCTATGTGTGGTAGCCTTTTTCATTAGTCACACAGAGAGGTGTGTATGTCATATGTGTCAATGGCTGAACTACCAGAGATGAGTTTGTTGTAAAAGGTTAAACAAAAAATAACCACTTAATAGTCATTCTAATTCTGGCAATTTAAGTTTGACAGAAAATGTAAAATGGCGAGTTACTACATGACAAGCAAATTAGTCATATGCCTATTAAAAACAATGATATTTAGTTTCAGTGTGTGAATGATAATATTCACAATACATCACCTTAGTGATTATTTGTCCCAGTACTAAGGCACAGCTGGAAGAGTTTGGTAGTTTTAGTGTTCTCCTATGTCTTGATGGAGCAGATACACGGCTACAGGTTTAGAGCAAAAATAGTCAGACTGTCTAATGTGTTCCAGCTCACAGCTAACAAATCCAGCAGCTCAGGAGGACCTTTTCTTAAAAGCATTCTTCACCACTGTTGGCAGGCTTATTATGTGCAATTTTTTGCTGATAATGTCAATCATCAAGGTACTGTATAATAACATGCATGCCGTTCTGGAGCACAAGAGCTGTGTTTTTAACTCTGGACTTTTGATTCTACTTTTAGGACTTGGTTTGACATTTTGTCTCTCTGAGGTGAGACAGAAACACTCAACGCCACATCTAACAGCAGTGGAGAAACCACTGAGTCATCATCTTACAGAGAATTTTCCATTCTATCAGTAGTATAAACTGTAAATCATTAACAAATGGAACTGTTGTTACAATGGTTGTCTACAGTATATGCCTATGGCTGTCTGTTTCACAGCAGTTTTATACTGTTTCCCTGACATTAAAAGGAAACTACCTCATACAGTGTGATGAATAGCATCAACCGAGAAAACCTCTATTTAGTTCTTCCTCATTTCTGCTCAGTGACTGTCAGCTGTTTGATGTGTTGCTAAAGGTCACACTGAACAACTATGAGTTCAGATGTCACTTCTTGTACACTTTGGTTGCAGGACATTTTGTTTAAGAAAACTTTGACCAACTTTGAGTGTCTTTTTTCTCATCAGTGGAATCGATTAACATTTTCCCTTCAGTTCTTGTAAATTCACTGTCATTGTGTGACAGTCTGACCAATAATAGCCTTTGTCAACACAGTGCATAAAGTCATTTTTTATATTTAAAGGTCACTGCACTCACTTAATGTGCATTCATGCTTTCTCTCCTAAGGCTGCTGACCTGAGCAAGCCCATAGACAAGCGTATCTACAAGGGAACGCAGCCCACCTGTCATGACTTCAACCACCTCACAGCCACAGCGGAGAGTGTGTCCTTGCTGGTGGGTTTCTCAGCAGGACAGGTACAGCTCATTGACCCCATCAAGAAGGAAACAAGCAAGCTCTTCAATGAGGAGGTAGGTTCCTGAAGGACAGAGGTTAGATTAGTGCTGGGTGGTATGACACAAAATCTGGATACACATGTGCTTTTTTAAGATTCTGGCGGTTTTATGGTATATCACAGTATTTGTTTTATCTTTATTGCATGACTGGACCTTTTTATGTAGGTTTATGTAGGTTTAATGTCATGTATATACTGAAGGCTATTACTATAGGGGTTTCATGGCCCACAAAGTGATATCATAAATGAAGTAATCAGAATACATGAATCATTTGTAGAATGTAAACAATTTTTATTGTGCAAACTGCAACTTTGTAAAACCGACATACCGGTTTATCCAGTATATCACCCAGCACTAGGTTAGGTTACTAAGAGTTGGGAGAGGCAGTGGATTTTCACATTAAATAAAATTAACCAAGTTAACAATCAGTTCTGTTTATGTTGAAAGCATCTGAATGTGTAATGTTTTCAAAATATATTTTCTTGTACTTGATGCTACTTTTTGTGCTTTTCCTGGCCAGCGCCCTTTAAACTGAATACTACCAAGTGGCCTCAGACTTTAACAGAATATTCTGTTTGTAATTTTAAGACTTTTAACATGTTCAGTATGTTGATTTCCTGATGATACTGTACTGACAATATTTTTTCCCTCTTCTCTTCTCCCACCGCTCTCTCCACCCTGTCTGCTTCTCAAACCTCAACCTTCCATCTCTCCTGCCAGAGACTAATAGACAAGTCCAGAGTAACATGCGTGAAATGGGTGCCGGGCTCTGAGAGCCTGTTTCTGGTCTCTCATGCCAGTGGGAATATGTACCTGTACAATGTGGAGCATACTTGTGGTACCACAGCACCACACTACCAGCTGCTTAAACAGGGAGAGAACTACTCTGTACACACCTGTAAGAGTAAATCCACGAGGAACCCTCTTCTTAAATGGACAGTGGGTGAGGGGGCTTTGAATGAGTTTGCCTTCTCTCCAGACGGGAAGTTTCTAGCTTGTGTTAGCCAAGACGGCTTCCTACGGGTCTTCAACTTTGATGCGGTTGAGCTTCATGGCACCATGAAGAGCTACTTTGGTGGCTTGTTGTGTGTGTGCTGGAGTCCTGATGGAAAGTATATAGTTGCAGGTGGAGAGGACGATCTAGTGACTGTGTGGTCGTTCTTGGACTGCAGAGTCATCGCCCGAGGTCACGGGCACAAGTCATGGGTGAGTGTGGTGGCATTTGACCATTACACCACCAGCGTGGAAGAGAGTGACCCGATGGAGTTCAGTGGCAGTGATGAGGACTTCCAGGATCAGATGATCCACTTTGGACGAGACCGGGCCAACAGCACGCAGTCTCGACTCTCCAAGCGCAACTCCACGGACAGCCGGCCTGTTAGTGTCACATACCGGTTTGGCTCGGTGGGCCAGGACACTCAGCTGTGCCTATGGGACCTCACTGAGGACATCCTTTTTCCCCATCTTCCGCTCTCACGGACACGAACACACACTAACGTGATGAATGCTACGAGCCCCCCTGCGGGTGCTACAATAATCACTAACACCTCTAGTAACACTACTAATGGAAACAACAGTGGTGCCAATACTCCTGGAATTAACTCCCTCTCTACTACATTACCACGCTCCAACAGCCTACCCCATTCAGCCGGCACCACAACAGCAACAGCAAACAATACCAACAAGGCTGGTAGTGGTGTTGGCATCGGCAGTGGTATAATGGACAGTGCCATCGCAACAGGCGTGAGTAAGTTTGCCACGCTGTCACTCCATGATCGGAAGGAGCGCCACCACGAGAAGGACCACAAACGCAACCACAGCATGGGCCACATCAGCAGCAAGAGCAGCGACAAGCTGAACCTGCTGACAAAAACCAAAACAGACCCTGCTAAGACTCTGGGCACTCTGCTGTGCCCGCGCATGGAGGATGTGCCCCTCCTCGAGCCCCTCATCTGTAAAAAGATAGCACACGAGAGACTGACTGTACTCATATTTTTAGAGGACTGTTTAGTGACTGCTTGTCAGGAGGGATTTATTTGCACATGGGCGAGGCCAGGCAAAGTGGTAAGTTCTTTTTAATGTAGGAAATGTGGGGGAAAGTTGAAGTGATAACATTGTCTGTCAATTTTTAGCTGTCCTAAAGTCAGTTGGTGGGCTGTAACTAAAAATCAAGACACATTCTTCAAGCATAAAATAAACTATGGACATTTGGAAAAGCATTTTTAGCTTTTATAGTCAGGTTGTCACTCTCTGCAGGCAGGCAAGGAACATATCATACTTTGTTTAATGTACGTCTGCTTCCCAATGAAAGACCTATTATGCCTAAGTTTCAAATACAACCAATGCTATGGAAATATTGCAGTCTGGTTATATAATACATTCTGATAAGGAGGATTTCCTGTGTAGACCTGTGAGGGGGGGGAGACGTTAATCCATACGAAGTGTGTTCATTGGTTCATCATAATCATCCCACAATGCATAGCAACATAGCCAAGGAGTCATCTGCATACACACTCACATTTCAGCTTTTATGCAAATGGCTCTGTATTTGCTCCAAAGAGTCTGCAGTTTCTCACATGCTTACAGCTTACACCCTTGTATACTTCCCCTTTGTCTGTGTTTTGAGAGATTTTGCCGGAACAAGGCACATGACCTGTCTGGATCTGGAACACAACATGCAGTCTGAAGGCTAGTTAGTCCAGTGAGGTTGTTACTTTCAACCAGAGTTAGACATTAACAAGCGCCAGAGGCAAAAATGCCCTTGATATTTCATCAAATGTCTCTTGTACAAATGAGAACACAAACAGTGCAGTGATACTGAGAAGTACACTAGTGTCTTCTGGGTGAGAAAATGGATCAAATATAAATGGTATGAAAGCAAGAATATATTGCAGTGTTTGAGGACAGTCTTCTGGAAGATGCAATTAGTATTCAGTAAGTAGGGAAGAACAGACCCATTTTTTTTTTTTTGCAATAACAATGAAATGCGTAACAGTTTTGTAAATTTGCCCTGGAAAAAAAGGACAGAATACCCTCAGCTCAATAGGTATTTTTTTAAAAAACACCTTCTGGATAAACAATTATCTGGTTGTGTTCATTATAAGTGCCTTGATCAAGCAAACCTCTCAAAGACATCATTAGTGTTACACTGTACACTTGTCATCCACTTTGAATTTTTTTTAATTCAATCCGGGATATGGAAAGAAGAGGCTAGAGGCTAATTTTTAATGAGGTATTTGTTGCTTGATTTTTTTTGCTACACTATGTGAACTTTCCCAATGCAAATCTCCTTGTTTTCCTTTTTCCAGGGTTTATTGTCATCCCAAAACCAAGCCAGCTCTCCCAGTGGAACAGTAGTATAGCCACAATATTTCTGCTGCTAAAGAACCCTGCAACCCAGAGTCTGATGCTGCTCTTCACCCTGCAAGCATTGCAAGTTTTCCTTTTCTTTGATACCCCTCCCCTCCCCACCCCCACCCCTCTGATTTTGTTAATGGCTTTTCTGTTTCTTTTCGTTTATCACTCACTTGACCTAATGGAGGAATGAAGCAAAAAAAAAAAAAGGTGTGGTGCAATTGTGGACTGTTGCGCTAATGTACTATTATTCTCTGGAGTTTTAACACGTTTTAGAGTTTTAAAAAAATCTTTCTTTCATGTCAGATCTCATCAGACTGTTTTCCCCTCTGGAAATAAAAGCTTGGCTTTGTTAGATGCAAACCAGACAATTGTGGCTTGAGATTAAAGGGATAGTTCATTTAATTTTCATAATCTGTGTGCCCCCCCCCCATTTTTTTTAACCTTGTTGTGTAGCCTGGTCCTGGCTCAGGGTTGACTGACTAAAATATGACTTTTGGGTGAACTATCCTTTTATGACCAAGTGCGTGAGCATCTGAAAATGTTGCATCCATCCACATTCACCCACCACTTCTGTCTTTTCTTGAGTAGAATCTCCCCATTATGACTTTGCACTGATTTTGTTAGTTATTTTGTTGTTTGTTTTTATAACTACTCTAATGGAACAAAAAAATAAGAGGGTTGAGGACTGCCTTGTTGCACTCGGCTTTAACATCCTCAGTCTTGAAATCTGAATCTATAAAGCTGGATGCTGCAATCATAGTCTTTTTAAAGAAAAAAAAAATGTTTGCACTTAAATTAGTTTATTAGAAGAAAATGGCTTTACATTTTTGGGTGTGCTCAGAACTCACAGATGGCTAATACAGTAGGTGAAGAAAATGATAAAAAAAAAAAACTATTAAAACCTTTATCTATTGAGCATTTATTTTAATATTATTTCAGATTCAAATCTGCTCTGTATCATAATGTGTATATTGTAATTAATTGATTTGATGGGGGCCTAAGCAAACTACCATTACTCCAGTGGAAGTTTTGTCATTGATAGTTATATTTCTAAAGCCTAAAGTATACATATTAATAATATTAAAATAATCTTGAATACACCGTTTTCTGTTCTTTTTTTTTGTCACATGTACTGTATTTACATAACAAAGCTATACTGCATTCTGCTGTGGAAATTGCTTACATGGTCGAAGTTGCAGTAGCTCAGGTAGTCTTACAATGACAGAATCTCAGATGACTCCTTAATGCAATTCAAGCTCTTTTTATGCCTCAGTCACAAAAAATAATAGAAAACAGTGATTTATATCCTCACATTTTCTACTTAAAGGGAATTTAGCAAAAGTCACATGAAAGGTTTTACATAAGAAACTTGGGGTTCAACTGACGAGTCTTTGCCATTCGACACTACTGCAGTATTCATGTACTTTATTTTTGTGTGATGAGCAATAATTGGTGCCACAAAGAGTCCAGTGACCCCTACACTAGACAAATAGAACAAAATACATGTGTGAAGTAGATAACATTTTACATTTCTTGCTTTTATTATTCATAAAAAAAATCATCAGTTTGTTTTTTTTAAACATCTTTGCGTCAGGTTATACAGACGTAAAAGATTTAAGTATTTATAATGCAGGTTAATGACAACATCATACAAATTATACTTGACTTTTTTTTTTACTGATTATGCAGTCACAATAACCAACACAATAAAGTGCAGACTGAGTCACAGTCCAATTTAAAGAGCTCACAGCTCTGAATGAAATGGTACTTTTTTTTTTTTAAGCCACAATGCTTTAAGTGAGGAGGTATGAGGATACTGGCCAAGCTACATTCTAAACAAAGCTTTAAAAAAAGATTTTCTTAAGGCCGCATCTGCAAACACAGATGTTTTCACATACATAATTGATCTAAAAGAGAACTTTTTTTTTTTGCCACTAACTTTTCTAATTCTGCGGTTTGTTGCCCGCAGGTGGCTATTTATTTACAGTACGGTTGGATCGTGGAATTTGCCTTTAAAAGACTTCTCCAAAGACAATGTTGTTGCTTACAATAATTGTGAAGCACTTAATGTGAATGTTTTTGCTGTTTACCTTTGTACAGGAAGACTGTTGCTCTACATATCGGTTTGTTCTGAGGAGTTCATTCACAGCTATTCAAAAGAGATCATCACAAGTGTACAGTGCTTATAAAAAGTGCTCAACCCCGTTGTTGGACTGAATCACAGCTGATCAAATAAATAGTGTGTAGTATTTTTGTCATCATGGTATAGTTTTTAGCAGGACGTTGACCTTGTCGCACCATAATTAACATACAGGCAGTCTTATTCAGCTTATCATTTATCACAGCAAAGGGTGAATACTTACACATTTTTTGTTTTATATTTGCTCTTAATTCAAATCAGTTTGTAGATACTTTAAAATATTTTTCTGTTGATCGGTATAAAAATAGCATATTTAATAATTTGTGATCAAAGTTCTTGGGGTGCGACTACTTTTTATAGGCACTGACCATGTTCCTCATCAAAGATGTTACACCATTTAATTCACCTGGTAAACAGCTGTTCACTTGTCAAATATCTTATTGCTTAGCTTGTGTAATAGGCTCAGACTGAAGTATATTTCTAAACAGTTGTAAACATGTAACACCTGACTATGCCGTAACTAAACTACACACTCTCAATCCAACATACTATGACAGACTCTTAATATTTTTTTTGTGAAGAGAACACATTAAATGTCATCATTACAGTGAGGGTTAAAAACTTTGATGTAGCAGTCATAACTGGTAAGATGACAGGTTTGGGTTCGCTTTACAGATTGAAGCATCAGGCCTACCCAAACATCGTCCTCTCCACACTCTGTTTATCAGTACAGGTCTATCATGTTTTAAAGAGGCAATTTTTAATCAGATGTTCAAGTGTTTTTGGCTCTCAGTAGCCTCCATGTTTCCTATCCAGAGGTGGCATGTAGTAGGTCTTGAAAGCTGCGTGGTGTGACTCATCCCGGGGCTGTGAATAGAGAAAATGCAGCCTGAATGCCAAATCAAAGCCCTTAATGAAAGCACCACCAAGGCACTTGTTTGTTTTTTTCTTCATATAACACAGCGAGAATGTTTAAAACATCTGATATTATAAAACAAATCTGTCAGCTTACTTCATTTTACAGTGTAGTGAATGGTGGGGTTTTTTTTTGGGGGGGGGGTAAAAATGTAAAAAGCCTGATGTCTGTTCTGCACTCCTGTGTTTACCTTGGCCAACCGTGTCTGGCACTTTTTCGATGTGATGGTTGGCAGTGTGCCTCGGTGGGTGACAGTAAATGCAGGCACAGTGGAGACTGGGAAGGACATCTGTGGTCCTGGTACGACCATGTTGAGCTTGGGCAGCTCTGTAGGATAATGTGGGGCGTTCCGTCTGATGAGGGGCTCTGCTACATGCTTCATGTTATGCTGAAGAGGGAGAAAGTAATCGGTGGCACCAGTTCTATTTATATTGGACATTTCACCTTTCACGTTTATCAGCAGAAATTAAGACGTACGCTCATTAAAGGTGTTTGCCTTGTGTGCCTTCCCCTCAGCTGTTTGCCTAGTCTGGTTGGTCGCCAGATGTGGTCTAAGGAGTTGGGCATCCCACTACTCTCTATTCCATCCATAGTTCCAGAAAGTCTGTGAAGACTCTCGGCTTTCTTCTCCGCCACCCTGGATTACAAATGACAGGATATGATTATTAAAAGTCTTTCAACCGTTTGTCCATCTGTAGCAATTTATGCCATGTAAATCGGAATCAAATTGTCAGGAATTGTTTCTTATTTGCATGCTTTACCTGATTTCCCTAAAGTATGTGTGCCGCAGGGCTGTTTCTGCACTGATGCGTTCATCTGGGTCATAGGCGAGCATCTGATAGAGCAGCGACAGAGCTGGAGCAGGGCAGCTAGGGATTAACCGCGAGATACCAGTGCCTTTTTTGGGGGGGAAGTTGAAATGCATCGCTCTAGACCTGTCAGACATTAAGAGACAATGAGAAGTCTTGTTTTCTATGCCCTTAAAAATGAGATACTCACAATTTATATGCACAGCTTTTGTAAGGCAACATATCTGAGGATGAAAACACTTACTGCTTGAACTTTTGGAGGATACTTTGATCTGGTGTCCCCAACACATCGTGGATCTTGGCAACCTGGTCCAGTTCATTGGTTCCAGGGAAAAGAGGATTCAAACTGAAACACAAGAGTATACAACAATCAGACTGCCACCACAAAGCTATTTATACAGCCTTTGTTTGACATTTGTTTAGGCCTATGATTGCAGACACGATCAATTAAATAACAAAGAAAGAAAACAGACATTGCTAACATTGTCATGTACATGTACTGGTAATCCAGTATAAGCAGTCCTGTCTCATTAACTGTCGTCCTGTTTAGGTACTGCAGATGAAATGTTGTGTCCTTCCCCTGCAGAGGTACCTCATGATCTCAAAGAAGACACAGCCAGCACTCCACATGTCCATCTTCAAGCTGTAGTACCCATCAGTGAGGAGGCACTCTGGGGCTCTGTACCAGCGCGTGGAGATGTACTCTGTGTGCGGGGGCTTGGAGTACACACTCCGACATGAGCCGAAGTCGCCAAGCTTCAGACCATTTTGCTGCAAAACAATTTTTTGAAATGTTTATGACTAACAGATTACCATTGTTACATATCTGTAAAGGAAATTATGAAAATCGTGCATCTCACTTTGATGAGAATGTTTTCTGGCTTCACATCTCTGTGAAAGATCCCACAGCTGAAAAAACAAAAAGAGGAATGTTGGGGAAAACAGTCTTAACGTACATTAATGTGGAGTTTACCATTTAATATTCAATTCAATTCAATTTTATTTGTATAGCGCCAATTCATAACAGAGGTTATCTCAGGACACTTTTGAAATAGAGCAGGTCTAGACCGAACTCCTTATAACATTTACAGAGACCCAACAGTACCACCATGAGAAGGCATATTAACTGAAGCACTTTCATGACTACCTGTGCATATGTTCGAGTGACTTGCAAAGCTGGTACATAAAGTTCTTCACTGTGTGGTCAGGCAGCGGCGTTTCTCTTCCTGTAGGGAATAAAAAACCGATATCAGCCCAAAATTCACCTACAGATTTACTGAAAGACGATGTCTCCATCTTTCAAGTTCACCCTTATAATGATTTATTATATGCTCGTCACATTTGCAGATTTACCTTGTATGAACTCGTAGATGTTCATCTCCATCAGCTCACAAATCAAAGACACAGTTCCAGTTTCTTTGTCACTGAAACGTCGTAATAGATTAATATGACATCAAACTAGCTTGAGGCAATATAATAACTTAATAATAGACAGCACTCCAGTACTCACAAAATCAGATCATGGAGCTGGATGATGTTTGCATGCGGGCTCAGTCTCTTCATCGCCTGGACTTCCCGCAGGTTGTTGGCCTGCTCCAGACTTGATGACAGGGAACAGAGCATATTTGCACATTAAATTTGACAGGTGTACAGGTAGTTAATTCTTGATTTAAGTTGCACATCTGCTTACTTCACCTGAAAAATTGTGCGGCCGGGATGATTACCAACAGGTGAATTTCCTTTTCACAGCTTTATACAGCAACATTATGCATATATAACAATGTACTGTGAATTCATATAGATATAATAACATAACCAGATAAATGGTTGCACATATTTAAAGGCCACAGTCAATGTTAAAAACCAGTGCACTGACAACTCATATTTCAAGCACTGACATCTACTGTAACTTCATCACTACAAGGTCAAAGTTGGTGGAGTAAGCTGACATCTAATAGGATACTTAAGGCAAAGGGGGTGTCAAGCTGCTGACTCAAGTTTCAAGGGTCTGTACGCAACAGAGTACGGTAGAAATACACCAGTGATTGTCTGTGCACAGGATACATACCTGTTTATTGTCTGCTTCATGGTTTTACATGCGTAGAACTTCCCATCTTTCAGGCTCTGAGTTTTCATCACCTCTGAAAATGTGCCCTCCCCAATTTTCTTGATTATTTTGTAGCCTGCACAACAATAAAAATCAAAGACAGATAAGGATAAGATTATCATTAATATTACTAATACTGAACAGCAATAAAACAAGTCTGCATAACTGATACGAAAATCCTGTGTTTGGGCAATAAAATAAATATTTTCTCGATTAAATGTTGGTCTACAAAAAAGTCAAAAAATAATGAAATGCCTGTCTTAATTCCCCCTACCAAGTTGACATATTCAAGTTTTGTTTTATCCGACACAGTCCAAACTCAAAAATATTTATTTTACTAACACAAAAAAAAAAAGAAGAAGCTAATTTAATTTTTTTTAGATACAGTAACCAGTGTATTCCTTCATTTTGTACTAATTATTTCAGCTCTACAATTATCACATTAATTTCAAAATAGGGCTGCAATTAAACAATTTTTAAATCATCATTAATTATCTTATTTTCTTGGTTACACCTTTTTTTTATTTAACCAACTTTTGTACTATTTGCTAGGGAAAAAAAAGACTTAAAAGATAAATTAGTTATAAACATGTTTTGATCAAGGTTGGACTAATTGTTGCTGCTATAATTGCTAAACAACAGTAAACACTTTAAACATAATCCTGATTCTGATTTTAGCTCTGATGGCCATCCCATTGACAATACATATCCATAAGCACTAAAAAAAACAGAATAACTGGTGTTTTAAAGTGAAATATTCCTTTAAATTTTAAACCGAATTTCCGTTAAATTTTGCCGTTAGAATTCTGTGACCCGTCGAATTCTGGTATCAACCGAATGTGTTCCACGCGACATTTACCTGCTAACGTTGTTCCAATGCTAGAGTAGCCAGCAGGGAACGTTCCATGGAACGTCATGATACATTTTTTTTGTTACACTGGTCACCATTTTTTGGTACCGATTAAAACTATGTCCACAAAACGAAGGAAAAGCTCAATTAAAAAAACATGACTGTAACGGTCAAAACTGTTCACACTGACACAATGAAGCCACGGCTAGCTAACGTTAACTCCTAGACGTTTAAACAACCGTAAGAAATCTTTGGGTGAGAAACCTCGACGACCTGTCAGACCCGTCCTCACTCTACTCAGCCGTTGACTCAACAACTTACAATGCATTCCTCTGAGTCTTAACCGCCGCATGTAAGTCGAGTATCCATAACAAATGTATCTGGACAGTACATTTCAACGTGAGGTTGTTTGTTTTTTTTTTTAAATGTAAGGTTGTTTTTTTTTAGTTTCTTTTTTAGTAACGAGGTGTCAAAAGGACACGAAACTCGTCTTACGGGTGCTAGCCTAGCCCCGCTAGCAAGCCCTGTTAGCTGACCGTCGCCTTGGTAACGGAGCACGCCTTCGCCCTCCACTCTGACCTGAGGAGGAAACTAGAAACTCTGGCTGAATGTGTGACTCCCTCTGCCCGCTCCGCTGAAAATATTCTGGATTAACAGCAACAACGCAGCAGAAAATGCCGTGTAAGAAAAAAAAAAAAAACGGCCAGTCAAGCGTATTATTCGCTGCGGGCCCAGATATTGTCTTAACAGCTGCATAATTCACCTCCTTACCTTTTTTCCAGAGGTGGGTGGTGACCATTCGCTCGGATGTCTTTTCATTAGGCAGCGGGTTGTTATTCTGCACGTCCACAACATTTCCCCTATTGTTCCAGTCGCTGTTAGGTGGTGTTTTGCATGCATTTCGAAGGCTTGCCCTGTTTTTCACGCCAATAAGCCAGTTTGAGTAGTGCATCATTAGTGCACATTCAATCCCAAAGAGCCTACCATGAGCTTAATACTTATCTAATAGCAAACAGTGTCTTCAGGAGCACAGCGGCCGGTCCACCGCATTCATGTCATAGCATTAAGGTTACCAGGCACCAGTGCACCCCACACACACACACACACACACACACACACACACACACACACACACACACACACACACACACAATCAATGCGTTCTATTCACTGCCGTGGAAGGCGTGGACCTGCGCCTTTTTGCTCCTCGTTGGCTTCCGTGGGAAAAACAGTTTGCGCGCATGTGCAGAAGTTCCCTGCATGTTTCCCTTTGCTGATGCTGCGTTAGAAATGTGAATTATATGCCTCCGTTTTTACTTTTCTTTTTCTAACTGGAGTCCGCTGCGCCGTTGCCATGAAAACCAGGTTCACCACCGTGGATATCAGGGCAGTTATTGCCGAGATCAATGCCAAGTAGGTGATATGTGATATTGCCTCTAGCTCGGTTGCTAAGCTAAGTGTTACCATCGTTAATGTTGATTTGTGTGCAGATGTTGCTCATTCATTTCTTTTGCCTCGATCTTTTCCAGCTACATTGGTATGAGAGTAAACAACGTGTATGACATCGACAATAAGACGTATCTCATCCGGCTTCAAAAGTAAGGACAGTTTGAAAACTTCCAAAGTTTCACTGTTGTGGTGTTTCATATGGCATGAAGCACTACTATCATATGAAAACACTCCATTAGTTACAAATAACAGCCATGCATTCATACTTGGGATTCTAATTAATTATAAGTAAGCATTAGGTTCCTACTGATGTGATTTTTAAAATAGTAGGCGCTATGCAGCAGTGTCTTAAATTATTGTTATTATTTGAGGATTTATTTATTTGATGATTATTACTGATGCATTTATATCTAAGCTGCATTTTAGTTATATTTAGACATTTGGGTAGTTTAATATATAATAATTCATCATAATTTATTAGCTGGCCATATGTTTTCTGTGTAAAATATAAATCTGCAAAGTTTCTATGATGTGATAGCTGTCAAATAAATAGAGAAATATAAATTAACTAAGTCCAAGTACTTCAATTTGAGTAACCATAGTTTCTGTACAGCTTTCAGTCAGTGTGTAGTGTAACTCAGTGTTGTGTTGTTGTCTCAGGCCTGACAGCAAAGCGGTTCTCCTGGTCGAGTCTGGGACTCGTATTCATTCCACAGACTTCGAATGGCCCAAGAACATGATGCCTTCGGGTTTTGCAATGAAAGTAAGAACAGCTTTGGTTTTTTCTTGTGATTATTGTATAATTTTAACCATAATGTATTTTGAATTTCACACACAATTCCATATAAAACCTTGTTTCCATGACCTCCGTTGTGATGAATATCAACCAGATTTGACAAGTGACATGGTTTTTCTATCCCTAAACAGATTTGATATTTATGTCAGCATATTTTCCTCTTTTTTTTTTCTTTTTTTTTTTTTTTTTTACACAAATCCTTTATCAGATCTGTTTCTGTATATTTATTGACTATTTGTGATGAAACTGAATGTATAAAACAACTTTCTCTGTAGTGTCGAAAACACCTCAAGAGTCGGCGGTTGACCCAGGTTAAGCAGCTCGGGATTGACAGGATTGTTGACATCCAGTTTGGCTCAGACGAAGCTGCCTACCACTTGATTATTGAACTGTACGACAGGGTGAGAAATCATTGTGAGACGTCTGTATCGCACAACATCCCATGCTGTTCAGATCATATCAGCTCTGATCCAAACCATGATATTGATTCACCCCTATGTGTTTGTGTATGTGTGTATTTGTTGGTCTGTCCATATCCATCTTCAGGGTAACATCATTCTTGCAGACCATGAGTACACCATCCTGAATCTCCTGCGGTTTCGTACAGCAGAGGCAGAGGATGTGAAGATCGCTGTGAGAGAACGGTACCATGTGGAGAGCGCCCGACCCCCTGAACCTCTCATGAGTTTAGAACGGTAAACACATCTTTACATGTGCTTGTTAACGTTGTGGGCCAAATGGACTTCCAAACTAACTGAAAACTAATTATCTTATTTCTTTTCTTATGTAGACTCACTGAAATCATCAGCGAAGCACCAAACGGGGATCAAGTGAAAAGGGTCCTGAATCCTCACCTCCGTAAGTAGCTAAAAAACACATACATTTATCTTCTGTTTAATTATCTTAATCTTCTTTTTATGATTTAACATATTTTGTGTCCTTCTCTCTAGCGTATGGAGCCACTCTGATAGAACACAGTTTGATAGAGGCAGGACTGTCTGGCTCTGTCAAAGTTGACTGCCAAGTTGATGCTGCCCAAGGTATAGTAGAGCAGTTGGAGTAAAGGTTGTTGGCATATGGTTGATCGCATTAACAGACCAGTCGAAATAGTGGTTCCAGTTTAAGATTTCAGGTTTTTTTAGTAATGTTTTTTGGTAGATTTGTAAATACAGTATTTGATCTGGCTGCTTTTCAGTTGCTCCTAAAATCCTGGAAGCCCTGCAGATTGCAGAAACATATATGGAAAAGACAGAGAACTTCAGTGGCAAAGTAAGAGACTTATTTATTCTTTATTTTATTTTGAGGGAAAGTACTTTTGCATCCTGTATTAATGTTACAAGGACGCGCAATATGGATTTTTTTCAGCCGATACGAACCAATTATTACTGCTTGTCTCTCATGGCTGATATTGATAAGATAACCGATAATTTAACATGTTTCTATTAAGAAGTTCATAACCTGTAGTTTTTACACACTTGATGGCAAGAAAGGCTAAAATGTAGTTAATATTCCATAACTCTGACCTAACCAAATATAACATATGACATCACTATTGTTAACACAACAACTAAAACAGTTCTGACTTACTGACATTTATTTAATTATCATGCGCCCCTACTATGTTATATTCACAAGCTGCTGTTTTTAATTCAAGGGCTACATCATTCAAAAGAGTGAGAAGAAACCAAGCTTAACTCCTGGCAAACCCAGCGAAGAACTGCTCACGTATGTCTTGTTTTTTTAATGCACAAGTTGTTACATATGAGAATATTACATAACTTATTTTATATTATTTATATTATGGTGTAATGGTGTCTCCTTACAGATATGATGAGTTCCACCCATTTCTCTTTGCCCAGCATGTAAAGAGCCCCTATTTGGAGTTTGACACTTTTGACAAGGTAAACATTAGGCTGCTTATTTATCTTTATTTCATGATGCCTTGATTTGGGAAATGATATTGATTCTTTCTCAATTATAATGTGAATTCACACTTATTTCAAGAATGAAAGATATGAAGTCCAATGTCATTCTCTCACTCAGGCAGTGGATGAGTTCTTCTCTAAGATGGAAAGTCAGAAGATTGACATGAAGGCCTTACAGCAGGAGAAACAGGCTATGAAGAAGTTGGAAAATGTTAAGAGGGACCACGAGCAGAGACTGGAAGCCTTGCACCAAGCACAGGTCAGCATCACTAGCACCTTTTAGCTTTGTCTGCTGTAACCACTGCACATAATGCTTTCCCATATTTTTAATTAACTGACATTTAAAATCCAATTCATCATGATATTGGTGAAATACATATACAAGGAATCTTGCATCATGTGTTGCAGGAGGTGGACCGAATAAAGGGTGAACTGGTGGAGATCAACCTGCCAGTGGTAGAGAGGGCACTGCAGGTAGTGCGCAGTGCACTGGCCAATCAGGTGGACTGGACTGAGATTGGCATTATAGTCAAAGACGCACAAGCTGCTGGAGACCCTGTGGCCTGCGCCATCAAGGAACTGAAGCTGCAGACCAACCACATCACCATGCTTTTGAAGTGAGACCCGCACTGATAGAGAAACATTACCTGTCTGCTCATTGTTACACCATTTGGCTCATGTGTGTCTTTTTTCCTCCAGGAATCCATACATTTCTGAAGAAGACCAGGAAGAGGAAGAGAAAAAAGATGTGGTTGAGGAGAAAGGGAAAAAAAACAAAAATAAAGACAAAGGACAGAACAAGAAGTTGCAAAGGAACAAGCCCATGTTAGTGGATGTGGATCTTGGCCTGTCGGCTTATGCCAACGCCAAAAAGTAAGTGTCCCTGTACGTACATACATTTACATTTAGATATAGAATTGAGTGGAAATGTGGGGAAAGCCACATGTGTTGTTTTTACAGCAGTGTCCTTGTGGTTTTTTAGGTACTACGACTTCAAACGCAGTGCTGAAAAGAAGGAACATAAAACCATTGAAGCAGCAGATAAGGTAAGAATGCTGTTTTACTTCACACGGTTTAAAGGACCAGTCTGTAGGATTTACACGATCTAATGAAAACATACCTATAAATATTATATTACATTTCTGCCAATAGATCCTCCTAAATGTTACACACTGGACCTTTTTAGGGCAAGAAAATTTGTAAGGAAAAGAGGTGGTCATCACGCTTTTGCATACTGGTAAATGTTCTTCTTTTTCAATGTCATTCAAGGCTATGAAATCTGCAGAGAAAAAAACACAGAAAACACTAAAAGAGGTTCAGACTGTGGTCACAATTCAGAAGGCCAGGAAGGTCTACTGGTAAGACGCACACTACCGTATGATGTATCTGTACATCCACAGAGTTGATTCAGTATTTTGACCATTTCTTCCCTTTTTGCAGGTTTGAGAAGTTCTTATGGTTCATCAGCTCAGAGAATTATCTCATCATTGCAGGAAGGGATCAGCAGCAGAACGAGATGATCGTCAAACGCTACCTGCGTGCAGGTAATGAACGAACATCTACACATGCTCTTACTAACTGAGCTGGTTTATGCCCCTCATGTGTGTACTTTTTCCTTTTTCAGGTGATATCTATGTTCATGCTGACCTTCACGGAGCCACGAGCTGTGTCATCAAAAACCCCTCAGGTAAACCATGTGGCTTCTCAGTCTCTCTCTGCTGTTAGACTTGCTTGATATTCAATTTTCACTCATTTGTATGCGTTTCTTTGGCCTTCTCGCCCTCTCCATCTTCCTGCTCCAGGTGACCCCATCTCTCCTCGTACCCTGACGGAAGCGGGCACTATGTCTGTGTGCTACAGTGCTGCTTGGGATGCCAAGATCATCACCAGCGCTTGGTGGGTTCATCATCATCAGGTGAGTCTTCTGTCTTGTCTATTATTATATTTCTGTCTGTAACAATTTACTTCTCATATACATTATAATGAGACAAAA